GCTCGTCCATCTCCTTGTTGGCAATGTGGCGCAGGACATTTCCATTAGAATTGTATATTTCGCAATAGTCGTTGCCACAGCTCTCACTTCCCACCATTTTCTTGTGCTGTTTCCACGTCGACACAAATTCTTTTCATGGTACAACCACTCTCACATTGGAGTTCGGGCCAATAAATTAGCCAGTATCATTTCTAAAAGACCGTACACAGGTGTGCCTCGGTGGCAGAAGGGTTCCTATCGACGCATTTTCCAGCAACCATGTGAAGTTCGGCTACGTCGACCTGCATATTATAGGCCTCCTGCCCCTGTCTGGTTGCTGTTTCTGCCCGTAAGGAGTCCATAGTTTGGACCATTAGTCGTGGGCTACCGCTAGTTGGTCTACGGAACACGCTAACTAACTTCCTCTGGGCATAAAGTTTCCAAACATATATTGATTTAGAAGGATAAATGCCCATTTATCCTTTCCGCTTGCTTTTACGAAATACTTGAGGACTCGTACTCGGAACTGCATAAATACTATGGTTTATTCAGTGGGTAATATTCTTGCCTGGCCTCCCCCAGAGTAAACCAGTCGCATCAACTAATTTGACACGACGCAATTTTTGATTTTTCGTATTTAGTATATTGCTCGTATAGAACCCTGAAAGACACAAACACACATCACGACCGCGTCTTGAGCCAGTACCTGCAGAGCGTGGATGCGGGCGCACTTTCTCGCGACTTATATCTTAAATCACACACAGCATAAATTTATTAGTATGGATTTCCAACATCAAAACGGCTCCAACAATTCCGCTCGCACGAACCTGTAAACAGACATTTCCCTCCACTGCGAATAATCCGAAGCCGTCCTCATTGACGCACGAATTTGCTTCTCTGTGGAAAATTCTACAGCGATGCGTTTGGAAACATGCCCTTGGTAATGCAAACATCAAGGAAATCGGAAATCAATGCCTCATGCAACGTAGTCTTACTCCCGAGTCCGAAGTATTACGAAAAAGAGCACTATACTAAGGAGCATGCCATTATTTATGCATTTGGAAGTATGATCCTCAGCTCCTTTTTCATATGGCTCCACTATCGCATGCATAATCGGACCCCGAGGCTATCACGGTGCGCTAAGCGCGGTGGCTTGGAAGGTTGTCAACTGGCAATCATTTTCAGACCCAGCAGTCAGTCCAGGGTGGGTGTGTAGTAAGCATTAGCACCACTGTTGAAACCCGTGATCATCATGTCAACGCTGCAGTTACGTTGACCGCCGGCATCTTGTCCGTCTCTCGCTCAGTG